GAAATCCTCCTGGGTTTGGCAGAGTTATAGGGTGCCTACACACAAGCAGGGAGGCTGCTTTGATGCACTGTAATTCCATGGTGTCAGAGCAGACTCGATTAATCAAATCTGCTGGACTGTGGCTATCACTGTGGTCCAGCAGCTTCCCATGTCCCATGTATCAGTGTCCTCGCACTTCAAAGTGGTAGTAGGGGCACTTTACCTACAGCTCATTCAACAAGTTTTCGTTAAAACACCCCCACCGCCATTTTGAAATGCAGGTCTCTGAATACATGAGATGCTGTGGGCACTTTAATTAGAGCAGCACTGAGACCTGCAATAATTAAAGCATCCACCCCCAGAGCATGTGTAAAGATGCCCGATGATCTCCCAGTTTTCCTTTAGCATGGTGTATTATCATTTGCATACAGCCCTTCACAGAGCCCATAGCATCCTGAAAATGCTTGGGACATCTCATCTCAAGAAAGGTGGTAGCTGAAAGGTAGAGTGAGGAGAAGCTATGACAGTGGTTCTCAACCTTCTTAAATATGAGGCATCCCTCAATAGATTCAAGGCCTCCCTAGGAAAATACCAGCTCTTATTTTTCCTTTCTTTACTACAGAAAAATACTAGAGCAGTTTTTCTGTTGCACAGAACTCAGGAACACCACAAAAGGTTAGAATGTCCTACTAACCTCTGCTTTTGGGGAAGATCAGATAGATTCTCAATGTAACGCAATTCAAAATGGGCCAGACTCATGGGCGGAATTGGGATTTTGAAAAGGGCAGTATGGGAGCAGTGGTCAGCACAGCAGGGGTGGTTGCATCCTTGCTTCTACCTTACCTCCCTCCCCACACCCATCCTCCTCTTCACTGGGGAAGGACCATGGCTGCAGTAGCAGCAGCTGGGGACTTTTTAAAGTCCCCAAATCAGGTAAGCATCCTGCCACCCCTCCCCCTCTCAGCACCCTCTCCTTTCCCATCTGTGTTCAGTGACACATCCCCTCCCTTCCCATTCTCCCTTCTACCATGTCACACTGCCACTGTCCTGGTGGACCCAGGGGAAAGGGGAGCTCTAGAGCTGCTCAAGCAGGGCTGCACAGGGGCCAGACGGTGACAGGAGTGAATGAGTTCTTCCTCCCTGCCTTATCCCCCTGGCTAGGGACAGACATTCAAAAAGCCTGAGCCTGAATTGATTCAATCTTTGCAGGTAAGTCTAACCTACAAAGCTTGAACCAATTTGGGGGTGGATAGACATTCCCTTTTCATTCCATAAATGCAGGCATATGCCTGCAGTGGCTCAGACTAGAAGCCGTGGGGTGCTAGAGTGAGCCCTCACTTTCCTTCCACTGTGCTGAGCTGAGGGGGGTGTGGCCAGGCCCTGGCAGGGTGCTCTGATTAGGGAAGGTTTTTAACCCCCACCCTGTCCTGCAGTCCCAGGCTTTTCCCCACTGGCTGCTCAAGGGGCAGGAGTGTTGCCAGACCCTGCATCTGTCAATGCTGAGCTTTTCAACCTCTGTCTCCCTGCTTCTTCAGACTGTCTGCAAACCAGGTCATTTCTAACACCTTTCTCTCTCCCCTCTTGAAGACTAACAGATTACACCCAGCAAGTTGTTTGTCAGAACAAAATTTATCATCCCATCAAGCCCTACAAAATAAAACTTCTCTCTCATTAGTTTTAAGCTCTTCTTATCTGCAGGGTGCATTAGCATTCACAAGCCACTAGCTGTCTGCCTTTGTTCCAGTGAAATTGGAGACCAACACAGACACCTTTCAGCACTAGCTAGCAATCAGGGAAGGGGGGGCATGGCCAGATGCTGGGTCCCTGTATTGGGGTCCCTGCCATGGGAGAGGTGTGGGAGGGGGGATCCCTGCTTGAGCAGCCAGTGGGGAGGGGAGTGGGGGAGAAGGGGAAGCCTGGCAGCTGCTGCAGTCCCTCATCCAGCCAGTACAGTGATAGTGCTCTGGCTGGGAAGGAGAGGGGTAGGGCCAACCCTGCTCTGCCCCAGCAGACAGTTCTACAAAGCATCTGGGATGCTGGGGGGCTCTGGTTTCACTTAAACCAGGAACGGGTGTGGGACACATTGCATAAATGGGTTTGACCCAAATCAGTTAAGTCTGATACTACATTCAACCTGGTTTATCTCAAACCAGTATTAGCCATTTTCAAACTGGTTTATGTGCACTGAACATCTGTTATGTTACAGGTTTAAACCAGTTTCTGATTACTTAAATCAGTTTATGTGTAATGTCTGTCCCTAGCCCCTGGGTGTTCCCCGCCAGCCCATGAGCAGGTTCAGGGAGTGGCAGCAGGCAGGTTCCCCTTTCCTGAGCCTGCTTCTGGGCTGGTGGGGAGCATTTGTAGGGGGTCAGGCAGGGACGTAGAACCTGCTCATTGCTGCCTCTGCTGCTGCCCCCCCCCCAGCTGAGCCCGGCCCCGACTCAACCACTTCCTGCTGCCCCAGCTGAAGCAGGACAGGAGCAGCTGCAAGGCTCTCCCTGTGTGTCAGATGGGGGTAGTAATGTCAGCAGGTGAGTTCCTTTTTCCCATGCCTGCTCCAAGCCAGCAGGGGACACCTGCAGAGGGTGGCAGCAGAGAGCAGGTGCAGGAAGAGGAAAACCATCTTCTGTCACTGCTGTCCCCTGCTGAAGCTAGCACCCCACTCAGCCACAGCCTGTGGCCAAGGCCCACAAAGAAGCCGTAAGCTCCTCTCTCTTTCTGGGACAGCGGCACTGAATGTGTAATGACAGAATTCTTGGGACAACTAAAGAGAAAAACCAGGAATGGGGGGAGTAGTCACAGGTTAGTAACAAGTGCTCCAAGGGAGTATGCTGAGCAGAACATGCTGGCCAGTGGGCACTGGCCCTCAAAAAAATCCAAGGACGCCACCCAGTGAAACTCTGCTGGGAGACATGAGTGGCTGAGAAACCAGAAAACAGTCCCACAGTCACCGGGGATCCCCCCAGTCAGATCCTCCTTCCTGGTCAGATAGATGGCCAGTTTGGCTAGCACCAGGAGGTTGACAAGGAGGTCCCAGGACTTGGTGGGGCCACAGACAGAGAACACATAAAAGAAAAGGGGAGGGGAGGAGTGCACCTACAACCTCAGTAGGAGGTTCCTGAGCAGGCAGTGAAGAAGCTGTAGTTTGTTGCACTGAAGGTAAGCATGCACCAAGGTCTCCCTCTGTTGGCAGAAGGGGTAGGTGTCCATGAAGCATGCCATGTACACACCCATGGAGATGGCTCCATGCAGGAACTATCAGCTGAGGTCCCTGGTGGCTCATGAGATAAGCTTTAATAAGGCAGGAGCAGCTCTGGAGTTCCTCCCTCCCCTAGGTCAGACAGAGCCAAAAGTGGCAGCGGGTGGGATGGGGATAATGGAAGGGGAGGTGACAGAGGGGAGCACAGAGGGAAAGTGGGAGGGAGATTTCTTACTTGCTTTGGGGACTAAATACCTGGCTGCTGCTCCCATGGTATGATCCAAAATGGGGGTATGACCATGCCACTGCACCCTCTCTGAGTCTGCCACTGATCACACCTTCAGCTGGTGAAAAATCCTATAACTACACTGTGGCTCAGGTTCGAACACAGAGTGCTATGGTTCATTCAGGGCAGCAAAGATATAGCTTGTCTGAATGAATACACAAGCAGAAAAGAGAACAAACAGTGTAATTGTCTGAAGCATGAAAGGTTAGCATCCTTCCCCCCCTCCCACTCCTCCAAGGAAATAAGCACATTACAGTGATCTGGGGTGTCATTTTCCCAGCATGATTCTCAGAGCCTAGGGACTTCAGAAAGAGACCAGCGTGTGTAAACACAATTACTGTCTTTGAAATGGGATGTAGTCAATTTCTTTATGTGAAAGAGAAGAGAAATTGCCCTGAAAAAAACTGCTGTCTTCTGTGACTGTTATTATGAGATCTCTAACAAGGCTGCTCCAAACACAGGATTGTAGAGCTCACATGGTGAGATCTTTTTTTTTCATTATCTCCACAAACTGTAGTGCAGGCAATTTTTCCTGTGTGTACCCAGCATATCAGAAGTGCTGGGTAATCGACAGCTAAAATCACAATGTGCTCCACATCCATCCAGGACATCTTCCCAGGGATTACTGCGACACAGGGCTGGCTTTCCCTCCATAAACCAGTTGGAGCCAAATGTCCTGTCAGCACTGTTAAGGTTTGGCTAATCCTGGAGGAGATCAGACTCATCTCTTGTTCAGGAGGGCTCTTCACTGCCACATTTAGGTCACACTAAAAGAATTTATGCTACTTCAGAAAACTACCAGTCGTGTCCAAGGAGTTCTGAGTAAGTTTGTGGGCATCCCACATTCCCCTTGCAGACTGCATGGTGAGCAAGCTACACCTGTACAATGTGATCACCCATAAAGAGAGGCATGAGGTCTAATTTTCAAAGAAACTCAGCTCTCATTTTGGAACCTGATTATCCAAGTGCTTAGCACTGAACAGCCCCCACTCTGATCCCAGTGCCTCAGGACTCAATGTTCGGAGCACTTTTCAAAATCTGAGCCATGATGCAGGTGAGAGAGGGAAGGCAGTCAATGTAAATGTCAAAGAGGAAGAGGAGGAGAAATGTGAGAGCTGAATTACCTGTTTCTTGCTGCCTAAAAACTTTCAAATAGACATTACCTCCCATGAGTCTTCCTGTCTGGGCATTCCCTGAGTGTTCAATTTAAAATCTTTCTTTTATTCCTTCTACTTTTACGTCTTTCTTCTACATAGGAGTTTCCCTTGGAGTATCTGAATTTCTTTATAAGATCATGGTTTCCGTTTTTGGAAAGAAAGAGGAAGAAATATAAATGAATTCACAGTGACTAAGACTAGTACAACACCCGGCAGCAGTGTACTCAAACACTGGAAGCAGTGCAGAGGTTTTTCCACTGGGCTAATTAGCACTGCTCAGCAAGAGGGCTAGTTAGCCTGCTTCCAGCCTCATGCAAACAGAGCTATTTAGAGAAGCCAGCCACATGGAGCAGCTGAGGACACCGCTGCCCAGCATGGTAAGTGTGCCATGTAGACATAACTTCATTTGTGGGGGAGATAATCCACCTATATTTAAGAGAGAAAGAAGTCTCAAGCAAATCTTTAAATCTGAATGTTTTTAAATATTGACCAAGTCTAAGCTTGAATCTATAATCAAACTCTATGAAAGACAAATACTAGGTTAGGATGCCAGGGATAATCCTGCCTTGGCCAGGGGGCAGGGCTGGACTAGATGACTTTGTGAAGTCCCTTCTAGCCCTGCCTTCCTATGTTCCTCATATTTATACTGAATGAGCAAACCTTCTGGACTCCCAGTTGTTCAAAACCCAGATCTGAAGTTTGTGGCTTGAGTCTGTCTCAGCTTTATGAGTAGTATAGTGTTCTTGGCCTGAAGATGAGAAAACAGTCAAGATTTTCTCAGATACTTGGGCTCATGTGCAAGAGGTCCCCTGTGGCCCACAGCTGATACTGCTAGTACCAGTGAAGTCCAAGTATAGTTATAGTGGGCAGGCTGAGGTAGGGTGGGGTATGATTAGAGCAATACTGGACTCTACCAGTTCACCACTGTTGAATGGGGACTGCAGACAAGTGATAGACTTTAGAGGAGGCCCTGGGCCAGTCTAATCTAGGCTGGGGCTCGGGCAGAAATAGAACTGACTTTAGAAGCAGGGACCCCTAACAAACTCCTTGGCAGGCTCCTCTCAACTCTGCTGAGAAATAAGGGGTGCATTCCAACATAGATATTATTAGATGATAGGGTCAGAAGGGAACTCAGTAGGTCATCTAGTCTGACCCCCTGCCCTAACAGCAAAATAATCTGGGATAGACTGAACAACTGTGGCTGGTAAATCAAGGGGAAATACAGAGGAACCAGGAAAATTTTCTTTTGTCCTTCAGCCAGACAACACAAGTGCTGGTGGCTAGGCCCACAAAACCTACTGTGTCTTGTGACAGCTGCATGAGCGTGTCTTGATTACACAGCTAGTCTACAGTATTTGCAAGGTAATATCAGCTCTTAACTAGCCTGCACCACTAATCCTATCACTGAACTCTGCTAATAGGCATTTCTGCAGTTGTGACCTTAAAAATAATTTCTTGTCTAAAAAAAAAGCAAGGGAATATTCCTATGACATTCCAGTGAAGACTGCTGCTTGGGAAAACAGTGTGCCTGGGAAAGAAAACAAGTAAGTTCTTTGTAATCATTGGCATATCAAATAAAGTGCATTTGTATCTTGCCTGAGGGCGCTTGTATTTGCAGCTGATTTGTGTGTGAGAAAGGGAGAGGGAAGGAGACTGAGTACATGTGCAGAAAACTACTGCAGCATGAAGAACAGATATTGCTGGTGCTTTGACACGGGGCTCGTGTTTGGGATTTTTCTGCCAAGGCATTTCAGCAATCCCACTGCTGGCTTCACCCTCCACTTGAGCCTCCCAGGGTGGGGAAGAGCTGGTTTCCACACCAAGCCACAAATCAGATCGTGACACATTTTGAGATGTTATCTCAGTGACTGGATGAAAAGTAGCAGACTTCTAGTCTAGGGACAGAAGTTACACACAAACTGGTGTAAGTGATCTGAAACTGGTTCAGATCTGTAACACAACTGAAATTCAGTACACATAAACTGCTTGCAAAATGGCCAAAAGCAGTTTAAGATAAACCTGGATGGATGTAGTATCAGACTTAACTGATTCAGGTTAAAATGGCTTATTGAACTTCTGTCCCAGATCACCTCCAGATTCAAGTTAATTCACAGTCCCCCAGCATCCCAGAATACTTTGTACCTCCACTACAAATCCTCACAGGCTGGGCTTGGCCCAAGCTGTCTGTTCCATCAAAGCAGGGAGGTGTGCTCTAGCACCCTCTGGCTTCTGTCTTAGACCACTGCAAGCATATGGCTGTGTCTCCAGAATCAAAATGAATGTCTGTTCACTTAAATTCAACCTATGCAGTTTAGACTAAACTGGGAAGATTGAATCAATTCAGCCTCAGACTTTCTGACTGACTGTACTTAGCCCTAATGAATCAGCCATGAGCCACTAGGACAGCTCATATCAACATGTATTTGAAGCAGTAACTAGAAGGCTTGTCTGACTTAAGTCATCTTCAGTTTTCTGATGATAACCAATAACCTGCAGGGATGCAGAAAGGATGATTTGGAGGGTGCACCTGCAAGCTTCTGTGAAGCTCCATCAGGCAGAGAATAATTGTTCTGAACACAAGTGCACAGCATGGCTGCAAACATGCACTTAAAAGATTCAGTTGCTGCAGTCCAAATGGAGTCCCTTTATTATTAAGAAATACCCCACTCCCCCCTGAGATTGACAGATGGCCAAAACCAGATTGGCCATCTATAAATCTCCAGTGAGAGACAGGACTTGTGGGGTTCCTCAGCCAATCAGAGGCATGGGGGCACCAAGCTTTGCCACAAAAATGGCACCTAATGTGCATCGGGACCAGGAAATGCAGAGGCAGCCTCTGTGAATTAGATAGGTCCTTATGTATAAAACCAGGAATTCAGTGGGACCTTGCAACACTTGTTGCTGCAGACTTGCTCTGATTTAATTCTGTTTCATCCAGGAATGGAGTGGAGGCCATTTAACCCCTTTTGTAACTACAGGGTCATACACATATACCAGTTAGAGTGAAACAGCTGTTGTGAACTTGGAGCAGCAGCTCCCCCCTCCACTTTTGAAATTACCCCAATTCACATTTGTCTGTGGCCACAGACTGAGGGCACTTGACTCCATTTAGAAAGTATAACCTTAACATATATATGACTGTACTCTATGGAGATTGGGGAGGGGAGGGAAGGGGGATGTGGTGCACTGGTTTTGTGCAAGTTGACCTGAAGTAGCATATCTCCCTGGTGTTTTAGCTTCACCCACTCTCCTGCCAGGTTTGCTGTGTTGTCCACCCCGGGTTTCCCGAGTGAAGAAGAGATTACAGACAGCTTACCTGGCCATCCCACTGTGTCAGGAAGCCATGCTTGTCCCTAGAGATTCTTGTGGAAAGCCCATAACTGCAGATATACCAAAAAATAAGCTGCATTAAGGGATCACACAGAGCCAAGTTTACTGCACATGTCAGGGGCAGCTTGTATTCTTCTATTTTCCACATAAGTTCCTTCACTATCTACATTTTCTCCACTCCCCTCTATCTCAGGGACTCCCAGTAACAGCCCTTATTTCATATCAGGAACATTCATCACTGCTGTAGCTGATTTATTGTCGCTTTTCCAATTGTCCCCTTGCAGACACGCCTAAAGGGTTATTCCTGTTAGTCTGCAAATGGCTGTTAACGCTCTACCAAAAGCATACAAAGTTCTTTGGGTAAATCCAATATCTTTTATTAAACCAATGCAAATAAAAGATATCGTATTTACCCAAAGAACCTTGTCTGCCCATGTCCTTAGACCAACACGGCTACACCTAAACCACCAAAAGCATTGCACAAGAGGTTCAGTTTTTCACCACTGGAGGGAGTCATAGTGATGCAAATGATGCTGCATTGCTCAGTCAGTGCAGCTCTGCCATTGACCATGGAAAGGCCCTATTCCCCAGCACTTAAGGTATGGACAAATGTACATTTTAGCTGCTATAAAAGGGGAAGGGGAGGTGCTGCTCTAGAGTGTACAGCAGCTTGTGTGCAGTCATGGAATGAGCCTGTAGTGAGCCAAGCTAGATTAACCCCCCTTACAGATACAGCAGCTGCATTATAACAACTTGCATGAGTATGCTTTGATAGAAATGCAGTCATTATGTCTGTATGTCCTTACACACTCCTGTCTTGGGAAATCTCCCAGTGATTTTGGTGGAAGGATAGTCTGACTAAGGGGAACTAAATAGGGTTCCCACTAGGTGTATTGTGTCTTTCAGTACTGCTGATTTTTTTTTTTTAATTTTTATTGGATGGACTTTTTCCCCCCCTAAACCAAAATTTCCTCTGTACAGACATTTTTAGGATAAATTTGGCAGGTTTCTTTCTTTTTTTCGTGGTGTTAGGGCCTTAGAGGGCATCAACCTGCTGAATGGAAATGCCTTGCGTGACCTTGGGCAAGACATCTCATTTGGGCATTTATCTTGCTGTGATCCTTTGACCCTAGCTGACTTCCTGCCCCTTGGGCAGGGGCTGGACCCGGTGATCTTATGAGGTCCTTTCCAGCCCTAATGTCTATGCAATCTATGAAATCTAGGCCTCATTGACAGAAGTGGGGTGTCAGTACTTTCTTTCTCCCATGCTTTGTCTACCTTATCTGTTTGAATTGTATATACTCTTTAGGTTAGTAACTGGCATAATGTGACCTCCATTTTTGCTGGAGCTTCTAGGCACTATTGTACTAGAAGCTTCATTGCTTCATTTTTTACTTGTAGGACACTTTTTAAATGTGACGATTGAAGTGATTCAGCATTGTTTTTACTCCAAGGCAGTTATTAAACTACCTAAGTAAAAGCTCTCATGTGATGCCTGTTTCCTCATTTTCCCTTGGCAGTGTGTTTAAAAATGCAACCCCAAACACTTATCTCCTCAGCACCTCCCTCATTGCCCCATGTTCCACCCAAGCTTTACCCGGATACTCTCTGTGTCCCTCACCTACTATCATCTCTAGTTAAGTTTCACCCCCTCCAGAGCATCCATCACTCATGTTGTCAATGGTGGACTCATGTGGTTCAGAGGGCTCTTAGCTCTTTCCTGCTTGTCACTGCTTTCAGTTAAAACATCCTCATAATCAGTTTTTACCAATCACTATCCCTCTCCTTTGGGTTCAGCAGCACACTGTAAAGCTGCACACTAAGCTGCAGGCTGTAAAGATGTTTTCCCCTCTCTGTTCTGTGCTGCACTGTATTTACTTGTGCCACTTTAATTAAGCCTCTGCTTAGTTCCTTTGATGATGTCCACTTATGGTGCTGTGCTGACTGGGAAAGTGTAAATATGTAAAGAGACTACATCTGATGACTAGTTAGTGCTTCACTTGGGTTTACACAAGATTTCTTTGAGTAGCTTCTTTGGCACTATTATCTTTAGATTGATTTATTTTTCCTAGACTGCCTTAGTTGCAATTTGACAGGTTAAGGGGTGTTTGTTGGGGTGGAGGGTGCTGAAGTCTTGTTGGCTGAGAATTACTATGTACCACTGTATCTGTTTTGCTTATGAAATACCTTTAAACTACTAAAAGCCAGCCTTTTGCATTATTTTGGAACTCTACATATTGCTTTCATCGTAAGAAAGGGACCATGACTTAAATAATACAGTGTTTCACCCCAGGGAATGAGCTAAATACACTCACTTCTTTTTCTCACTGTCCTTCCTGTTGTTAGCCTGGATTTGTGCCTCTGTCTATGGAATGTACTTTGAAAAGCTGTTTTGATATCTGTTCTAATCTTCTTACATCTTTCTAAACTGAAGCTCTTTTCTCATTTTTCTTTCACAGCTGGTGTTTTCTCTTTCTCCACCACTCAAAGCATGTCTACCCCACCTCCATGCCACACCCAGCATGAAAGATGTGGTGTTTCCTTTTTTTGCTTTTCATAGTTTCATAGTTTCATAGATTTAGGGTCGGA